GGGGGTTGACTGCGAAGCGGTTAGGGGGCTGGGGTGATCCCCAAATGGATATAATAATTGTAATAGATCTCAAATCGGCTTTTGATATTTTTTTACTATTAATTACTCCCACAATGTTCAATACAAAAATTTAGAAATAAATGCAGAGATTCGTCATGATCTGAAAAAGCAGAGGGATATCCTTTGCAGAGGAGTAATTGTAATGATGCAATCACATAGTAATTAACAGCTTACGCATCCGCTGGGTTATTAGCATATTTGCCGGGTGAGCATAGTAAACTCACTTTGATGGGTTAGGATGCATGATGTAATGATGCATACGATTAAATAATGATTTATTTTTTCCCACGGGGAAGCCTCACGAATCCGTGCGTGATGATAATCAGACTCCGTCTGATCTCAACAGAATCATCTTAGTTGTTTATGCATCATCTCAGTCGCCGAAACGTACAACATTTCCAAATTCAGCGATCGATGACGGAATTATCTGTCCCGGCATGCCGGCAGAATCTTCTTAATTTTGTTTTCTTACAAATATAATTTATCGGCGACAAGAGAAGAGCAAGAGAAACGTTAGCGGTTAAGGTCAGTTCTTATGATTTTTTCATAAATCATGCAAATTTGCTCATGTAATCAACCGCTTGAAATATCTTTGAGATGGATATGGAGAGTAGAGACTGTTCGTTGAACTTCACGAACTGAATCCGCATTATATTCACACAAATATATGTATAACTCTTCTATTTGAGTACGGTCCGTGTTGAGCCAGGAATGCTTTAAATGTCTATAATTGTGAATAAGCTTCATTTTACAAGTAATGCTTCGACGAAAGATATCCTCTTTGATCAAGGTCATGAAGAAAAAGCTGACATACCTATCACGATTCGGGGAGGCAGAATTTTTTTTTTCTTTAGAGTTTAACAGTAAAAGATGAGATACACTGGAAAAAAAACACATTGGATCTAGAGTCAAGACTCTTAAAAACATCGACAAGAAAAAATACTCTTGATTCAATCGGATTTTTGCTTCAATCAAGAACCAAGCCTCTTAATTTGAGCGGATTTCCTTTTGATTTAGGTTTAAATCGGATTGAATCAAGAGTATTTTTCCTTGTCAATGTTTTCAAGAGTCTGGACTCCAGATTCAACGTGTTTTTTTCCCAGTGTACAATGGGGCTCTATGTTATCCATAAGCCAATCTGTCTTAGCTCTCCTTATAAAGGGACCACCCTCGATTTTACGTATTTTCGTCGCTCCTCACTGAAAAAAAATTATTTGTGTATTAACCAAGAAAAGGGTTAAATTACCAAGAATGCAGGGTTCTATTTGATCCCAGTTTTTTCTTGGTAAAATTATCAATTATAGAATTGGTAATTTTACCAAGAAATCTTGGTAAATCTTTCTCAGTAATTTTACTGGACCTTGGTAAACACGCCAATATCTTTTATCGACGGTGGTAGAATTACCGAGATAGAATGGCAAAGTAACCGGGAATTGATTACCAATAAAAGTGGCATTCTTACCTGAAAATAAAACAGTAAAGATACCGGTTTTTAGGTAAGCTTACCAGTCTGTCTTGGTAAAATTACCAATAATTGGTAAAAAAAGTGAGATGGTAAAGGTACCAACGGACCTTGGTAAAAACGCCGAGAATTTTTTTTCAGTGCTCTGGCGTAAGGGCGTATTCCGATTTCCACGTGGACCCTGTTGTCCATATAACTCCATGCTTTCTAGGGCTCATGTCGAAATCGAGATAGGTCCTTACGTCAGAGGGGCGACGTTTTGTGACCCTTTCCGTCGCCTAAATGATTCGAGACAAAATGGAGACGTGGAAATCATACTTTTAGGTGTTTAAACTGTCGGCAAAGGTGGAGAATCTGTTGAGTGCCTCTGATGTTGATGTTGACGGACATCTTGATTTTCTCGTCGAAGTTGACAGTGGCCGCAGCGTGGAAGACGATATCAACGTCATCGATGAGACGTTCCCGGTCCTTCTCGTTGAGACCCAACGTCGCCTCCGATACGTCACCCGGGATTATCGTCACCTTGTCCAGGAACGACGGACACTCCTGCTTCAGTCGCGAGAACAGCTGCCAAATTCAAAAAAAGGGGAACCATCAGTTTTTTACGATATATCGTAACCTTCCGGGCAAAGTATCACAAGCGCCATGCAACGTTTAAAAATTTCCGCCGCCATTTTATTTTTTTACAGAGAAATTGTTCAACGAAGCTGTCCGAAAATTTCACCGAATTTTCTTTGTGCTGCCGATAAAATTTAGTGAAATTTCCAAACAGATTCAACCAACAATTTCTTAGTGAAAAAATAAAATGGCGGCGGAAATTTTTAAACGTCGCATGGCGCTTGTGATACTTTGCCTGGAAGGTGACGATATACCAATGGTCAAAAAGAAATTATTTTTTACACTTGCCTAAAATGTATTTACAGAATCTGGTGAGATTTTTAGCGCTGATTCCGAATATGGCCTCCATTCTGGGTTACTTCGAAATTCCTCGAATTCGGGAAATGTCAGAATTTCCCCTAAAAGTGCAGGTTTTTTTTTTTTTTTTTT